AACCCTCAACCCTAAACCCTGACCCTTAAGCCCTAAACGCGACAGCCTACGAGGGCCCGCCGACATCCGCTCCGCTGAGCTACGGCGGCTACCAGGGCATGGCCAGCGGAGGTGGGCCTTCAGGGCGCCTAAGGCCGTCGCAGTGCTTGGGGTTTTTAGAATGGGTTTCTGGTTTTCATGGTTTGAGGGTTTAGCGTTCAGGGTTTGAGTTTTATTGTCTAAACCCTAAACCCTAAACCCTAAACCGTCATGGCTAGTATTCAAATGAGTCTAAGGGAATCGGATTGTTAGGGATGCTCATGCACAGGATCCCACTGCTTGGGGTATAAGGGGGGAACTTAGGACCTGGAGTCATCGAGTACTATGGCTTAGGGTTTAGGGTGTAGGGTTTAGGGCTTAGAGGTTTTTATCGGAGATTCTTAGGGTTTCGGGGTTCATAAGGGGTTTCTCGGGAGTGCACAAGCCTTGATAGGGCGTTGCGTTTTAGAGCCTGCTTGTGGATAACAGGGCCCAGGGCGCGCAGTTAGTCTAGTTTATTCGGATCTGCAGTCATCATGAAATGTCACGCAAAACCCCGGATAGACACCCGCGGATTCTACTGTACCCGGACGGCCGTGCTACACTCTAAGCCCGAAAGCCCTCAACGTACCTCAACCCAAGCCTCTAGCTTCGCAAGCTCTCTCTGTCTCACTCTCTCTCTGTCGGTCTCCATCGTGTAGAAGGTGGCATCGTGCACGGCGGAGAGTACGACATGCCGCAGGCCCGATTTGGGGGGTTGCAGATTGCAACTTGTCACCTAAAGCCTGAGCCACACAAAACCCTGAAAGTTTGTATCCTAAATCTTCATCCTAGCAGCCAGAGGCCCTGACACCCGGAGAGCCTACTACCCTTTAGTTAAGGAATAGATCATGATAGTAAGCCCCCTGCAACTTAAGGTAAATTCCTGAATCAAATCGTATTGGGCTCTATGGGGAGCTCGAAACCTTCGGAACTGAAGCCCAAAGCCGTAGCACAAGCATCGGTCTCAGGCCCTAACCGCCAACCCCCTTGTTCCAGAGCTAGCGCGGCGTCCGATTTCGGGACCCGAAATGGAACCGTGGACTCGAAATAATGGAACCAAAATACTCTACAGTTACACCAAGTCCAAAGTCCTATCCTAATGATTTGGACGCCTGCGTTGTTCCCATTCGGGGCTGAAGTAGTTAACATCTAATTCGGATCTGACAAAGGAGGAACTCAGGGAATTAAGTTGCACAGACACTATGTTTCGCTTCCGTGAACTTCTTCACCCGACCCCGTTAACATATGCACTGGATCCTGACTTCTGCGAGCCCAATACCTTTCAATGAAACTGTATGTCGACTTCCTCAAATGTTAAGGAGCCCGAGCCCGACAACCCCAGACCCCCAAAACCTGAAAGCCCAAGAAGCTGTATACCCCAAACCCATAAGGACCAAAGATATGAAACCCTAAACCCTAAACCCTCACGGACCTAAACCATATCAGCCGAAAGTTCACAAACCTTGCACCCCGGCGCCCCAAACTGCTCGGCTGTCTAGAAGCTGAAAAAGCTTCTCTTACATTTTCCGTTTTGATGTGGGCGAAAGCATGAAGCCACTAATCAAGAAATATCGCCCTGAATTACACGACCCCCCCAACAACACAGAGGTCGGACTACGAAAACCCAGCAAAACTCCTTTAATGAGGGACCCCGACAAGCCCAGACAGTATAAACCCTAAACGCTAAATCCAAAGTTTCAAAGAAACAAACTGCTCGGATATTCCAGGAGCCGGCGATGGTCACCCAGGCGCCCGTCGCGCAGCTTCCGGCGACATGGACGCGGCCTCCCGGCTTGGATTTGCAGCGTTCGTAACTCAGTATAGGGGTCCAGGGGTTTAGGGTTCGGTGTGTAGGGTCGGGTATATCATGATTAGTTAGGTTCTTCTGCACGGCTTTTCAAGTTTATCAGCTGCTTGTAGGTTTTCTTGATGGGTTTCTTTCGGGGGCTCTTGGGTGGGTTACAAGTACCGATGTTACTGCTAGCCTACTTCTAAGTCTGTCTATAGCATGATGTAATTGCTTCATTTTGTGCCCCAAAGCCCAAAATTCCTAAACCCAAAAAACTACGGGCTGTAGGGTCGAGGGTTTTTAGGTCTAGCGTTAAGGTTTTAGAGTCTAGCTTGTGGAGGTTTTAGGGTCGTTGAGCAGTCGACGTCTGTGGTTGACACACTGGATGCTCTCACGAGCTCGGAGGCTACGCTTCTCACCCCTTTCGCATCAGAGCTTGCGCAGTTGAGCCGCGACCGTGTCTAGCCACACTTCGTGCAGCAGAAGGGACGAGGTCTTTCAAGATCCGCATTTTCGCAGATGCAAAGCAGGCGGCATCCCCCTTGTACGCGTATGTGGCCTAACTGGAATCCTTCCTGGATAGCGGTGACTTCCGTCGCCATCACACTAACTAGCACCGCGCCAAGGAGGGGAAGGTCCTCAATCCACAAGGGGAGCCGTTTAGCAACCCCCTGCAAGCCCCTGCTTGCGGGAACTGGATATGGGCCTTGGCAGCGGCATTGATTACCGGCCCCGACTGCCTAAGCGTATGGAGGCGGAGTCAGCACGCTCCGTTGGGCGATGCGATGGAAAGCTTTCTTTTTCTCGCTCTACTTCGTGCACTCGGTGAAGGCTCTGAACATACTGGCCGACTTCTCGACCCTCGCTACTCTTCTGCACCAGCTTCTGCAGGACACTCCACCAACCGTGTGCTACAGGTTGGGCTGGCGTCAGACCTGGCAGTCTCTAGAGGACACCCTGGAACCATGGCTGCTGTTCAATGCTCCGCTGACACTTGAGGACGCCGCGCTGGATCCACCCACAGTTGACAAGCCCGACCTTACTCCCAAATACTTAACGCTGCCCTGATTCTTCTGAAACTCTGTCGGCAGCCTTGCTTGGGGCCGGTTCTAAGCCTAAGCCTTCCAGAAGCCTAAACCCCTCAAGTGTTGAACCAAAAATAATCAGTCCAAATCCCTGGATTCCTAGCCCCGAAAAACCCTCAAACTCATCAAGTCGCAAACCGGCGCAGTCAGATCAGACAGCTGTTTATGGGGCATAGTCCCCAAACCCCCACATACCAAGAGACGCAAAAACAGGCGTACCTGCGTGAATAGCCTCATTGGTGGGACTCAGGGCCCATGGCATCACCAGGCTTGAAAGAGATCGCTAGTTGTTCTACACGAACAGAGGTCCTCCAACATACTTTCCTTGACGAAAACATGGCTTCCCTGATCAAACCCTAAGATTCCAAGTGCCTAATAATCATATACTCTTCTGAATACTAACCTACTGCACTACTATCCGTAACCCAAGTATATGATTATTAGGTCCTTAGGTCCTTCGGATCCTTAGGGAAAACAGAATCAGCAGGAATGGTGCTGGGAGGCTCTGGTTTTAGAGCAACTTCTGCACGAGAGAGAAGGCTTTAGTAACCCCTGGCAGGGACTCGGGCAGAGAGTCGGGCCCACCAAAGGACGTGGATTTCTACACTATCTATTACTGTATCTTGGGGTGGGGGTTTTTGAAGGTGGGGGTCCCGGCCTGGTCATGAACAAGTCTCTTAGTGTTCAGGGTCTAGATAAGGCCATGTATTGCTGGAAAGAGCTAGAAACAAACACACACACACACACACACACACACACACTGACTGACACTGATGGATCCGGCCAAGAGCAAGA